CCGTCCGTCCGTCCGTCCGTCCGTCCGTCCGTCCGTCCGTCCGTCCGTCCGTCCGTCCGTCCAAAATAACTCCAAAATTACAGTAGCTAGCGAAACGCGGTTTTCAATTTAAGATTAGGAATAATATTTGCAACAAAATTTGTAATATCATCAAAATCAGTTAAAGTCGCAGTTTTTGAGATAAAAAAAATTGGAAAAATGCCTTTACTTTGAAACTAAAAGAACTACCTACCAACTTTTTATTAACATATTTCAGTATGGGCGGCTATACCTACGTGCCTCCTGGCGCCAATTTTTTTAAATTGGCGCAAAAAAGATTTGCGCCACTGACTTTTCTTTCTCTTGTTAGCGTAACTGTATAGACCGTTTAATGCCGATTAAAAGTTGCCTCTTGATATTTTGTCGGTTTTGGTCTCCTTGATGAGCTAAACGCAATGTTATTAATTTGCCTTAATCCAAGTCTAATCGTGTTAAATAAGTACTCATTGATTCCTCATCAAAAAAATATGAAAAAAAGTTACAGGACGTTTAAACTTTTAAAAAATATCTCATTTGAAATTATCTTAAATGCTATTTTTTTAATTTGCTGTAGGTAGGACTGAGCATCAGTGTTATAAAATATGATAATTAACTATATTAAACAAATAATTTATTATTTTTATTTTTATTAATTATGATTAATAAAATTGCGTTTACCTCATCAAAAAGGCCAAAATCGATTTTTTTTAACCTACATATATCATAATATCTATATTTAAAAAAAAACGAAATAGGTATTTAATTTTAAAATTTGAAACAAACTTTTTGAAAATAATCCGGAACTGAGTACTTATTTCCCAAGCGGCATTCTTAAACTGACGATATCCAATTAAAACGTTGCGAAAGTTTCTTTGTTCCGTTCGATAGCCGGAAAACTGAAATTCTAAATTGTAAATTTTTGCAAATTTTCCTCCGGGCAATAAATCCGGCAACCGGCTAATTGAAGACTGCTGTCGACAAATTTCTTCGGACAGAGTGTGTCATAACTTTTATAATTAAAAGCAGTAATAAAAAAATTGCCTCGGGCTTGCTCGTCACGGAGAACAGCAACCAGGCAATTATTAGTTTTTAAGATGAATAAAATATGCTTCAAATTTGAAATAATTTATTCAAAGTGAATTCCTAAAATATTAAAAAGTTTTCATCGCAATAACTTAGCATAATAGTTTAAAAAAAAAACTAGAAAAAAAAAACACTTATAGTAAATCGAAATAAAAAGTGATTAATAAATTTTCTTTTTCTTCATTTTCACCCCATTTCATCTCCTTAGGAGTAGATTTGAAAAAAATAACTGCAATAACAAAAGAGATATAAAAAGGTACTTAAATAGCCTTAGTTTTTTGTTGCATTTTCTGGCTGTAAAATAGCCAAGCTATTACGCGAACTTAATCTACAGCACGCAAAAAAACAAACAAAATAAATTATGCGTGTCCAAGCGTTTTCCCGAAAGACTAACTGTTTTTTAAATAACAAATATTGTAATGTTTGAGTGGCATTTTCACCCTCTTGGAATACGAGATTCGAGAAACCCCTCCTTATCGAACCTCTACACCCCAGAGTCAATCCGTTTGGCAAAAATCAGCTTTAAACGTCAAGCAGTTTAAGCAGAATCGTGATTACTGAATGATCATATTTTATGAAACACCCTGTATAAATTTTTAAAAAATTTTAAAATATGTAAAACAACAAAATAAAATATACGTGTTTAAGAGTTTTTCCGAAAAACTCACCGGTTTTTAAACAAAAAATATTCTGAAGAATTTTGGTTTTTCGGGTTATTAGGCCGTCGTCGGTTAGAATTGCTTCCTAACGTTTCGCTAGCACGAGTGGCTAGCATCTTCAGAGGTGTGTTTGCTCCGATTGCTCACACTAGACTGATGCCTCCGCGTCGGCGTAGCGCGTATTTATGCGTCGGCGGAGGGGGCGTGGCTTGTTCGGGTGGTAGTTCTTCCGGAACTGGTCTACTTCTCTGTGCTGCTACTTTGGTCCTAGATATAGCTGGATGCCAAATTCTGTTAAGGTAGAAAGTTTCTTCCTTCCTGTTGAAATTATTTGGATGTTTGTGAATTTCAACAGCTTCCCTGACCAGACGAGGATGATATCCAGATGTTGTGGCAATGACTTGGGTGTCTTCGAATTGGATTTTGTGGTCACCATCTCTTAGAGCATGTTCTGCTACGGCTGACTTCTCTGTTTGCCCTAATCTGCAGTTTCTCTTGTGTTCCGTAAGTCTCGTTCCTACTGAGCGTTTGGTAGTTCCAATATATACGCTACCGCAGGAACAAGGTAACGGTAGATCCCTGCAGAGGATAATGGTTCTCTTTTGTCTTTTGCTGGTCTTAAGCAGTCCCTTATTTTTCGGGTAGGTTTGTATATGGTTTTGATGTTATGCTTCTTGAGAACTTTACCAATCCTATCGGTGACCTGGGAAACATATGGAAGGAAGGCCTTATTAATGATGTTTTCCTGTTCATTGGCGTCAGGTCTCCTCTGCCTAGGTGCCAGCGCCGCCTTTATTTCTCTGTCATTATAGCCATTGGCAAGAAAGGCTTTATTTAAATGACTTAGTTCCTCTTGGATGTGTTCATTAGCACAGATACGTCTTGCCCTATTTGCTAATGTTCCGATAATCCCCTGTTTTTGGCTTGGATGGTGATTTGATAGTTTGTGTAAGTACCGGTCTGTATGAGTGGGTTTTCGATACACGGTGTGATCCAAAAGGTCGCCATTTCTCTTGACAAGCACATCGAGGAAGGCCAGTTGGTTGTTTACTTCGGTTTCCATGGTAAATTTTATGCTCGGGCTCTGCGAATTAAGGTGATGAAGGAAGTCATCTAGGCTGTCACGTCCATGTTTCCAAACCACAAATGTATCGTCCACATAACGAAACCATACAGCGGGCTTCAGAACGGATGACTCTAGCGCTTTTTCTTCAAATCTCTCCATAAAGAAATTAGCAATTATTGGGCTGATTGGGCTACCCATTGCGACACCTTCTGTTTGTTCGTAGTAATTGCCGTTCCATAAGAAATAGCTACCAGTCAGACACACTCGGAAGAGCTCCGCGATGTCAGGTGGGAATGATTCCTTGATTAGATCCATTGACTCGCCTAGGGGTACTCTCGTGAATAGAGATACCACATCGAAGCTTACCATGATGTCAGATGGTTCCAGTTTTATATCTTTTAGCTTTTGGACGAAATGCGTTGAGTCCTTCACATAAGAGTTTGTGTTGCCGACTTTCGGTTGTAGGATCGTAGTCAAGTATTTAGCTAAGTTGTAAGTAGGCGATCCTGGAGCACTCACTATCGGTCTAAGTGGGACACTAGCTTTATGAATTTTTGGTAGTCCATAAAGGCGTGGTGGTTGAGCTTCCGAGTTAATTAATTTTGATTTCAGATGTTCCGGGAGTGAGGAGGCCTTGATGAGTCTGTTGGTGTTTCTGACAATTAAGGCAGTAGGATCCTTCTTCAGTAACTTATAAGTCTGGGGCTCCAGTAGATCCTCGATTTTGGACCTATAATCCTCAGACTTCATTACTACCGTAGCATTCCCCTTGTCTGCCGGTAAGACCAGAATGTCCTTGTCAGCATTCAGCGATTTTAGAGCCTGATGTTCTTCCCTAGACAGATTACTTTTTGGAGCCTTAGCAGTTCTCAATATGTTGACCGTTTCAAATCGGATTTCGTCTGCGATACTGTTAGGAAGGTTACGTATGGCAGCTTCTGTTCCGGCAATAATGTCTTCCACTGGAACCACTTTCGGTGTTATGGCAAAGTTTCCTCCCTTCGCTAATAATGTTACTTCTGATGTCGTAAGGGTCTTATCTGTGAGATTCACCACGGTTCGAGCAGGTTCAAGAGATATCCTATATTCCGGCTTGGTTTTTGGTTGCAGTTTTTCATATTTGATCTTCTGGCGAGCTGATGTTCTTTCCAATTCATTTTGCATATTTTGGTATGTTATTCCGTCAATCTTGTCCCAGTCTACAGGTTGCATGTTGGCGGTAAGGATATAAAATAGGTCGATCAATTCCCTGTCTACCTTTGCTAAGTCTCGTCTAGATGTATGAATCCTCTCACGAAGAAAATTTTTCTCCATCCTGGTGTAAAGGCGATTTGCCTGAGTAGATGAGAATACCCTCTTCATTTTGAGAAATCCTGGTATTACGTTTTGGTCTCGGCAGCGGCACAGAAAAGCAAGCGATGATAGCAAGTGAGCTTTTCGCTTCCGTGTCTTGTCCAGGCGTTGGTACAATCTGAATAGCTCCTCCCCGTAGAGCCGTTTAATGTAGTAGTTTAGGCTTTCGCGGCCATCGTTTGAAGAATTTTGGTTTTTCGGGTTATTAGGCCGTCGTCGGTTAGAATTGCTTCCTAACGTTTCGCTAGCACGAGTGGCTAGCATCTTCAGAGGTGTGTTTGCTCCGATTGCTCACACTAGACTGATGCCTCCGCGTCGGCGTAGCGCGTATTTATGCGTCGGCGGAGGGGGCGTGGCTTGTTCGGGTGGTAGTTCTTCCGGAACTGGTCTACTTCTCTGTGCTGCTACTTTGGTCCTAGATATAGCTGGATGCCAAATTCTGTTAAGGTAGAAAGTTTCTTCCTTCCTGTTGAAATTATTTGGATGTTTGTGAATTTCAACAGCTTCCCTGACCAGACGAGGATGATATCCAGATGTTGTGGCAATGACTTGGGTGTCTTCGAATTGGATTTTGTGGTCACCATCTCTTAGAGCATGTTCTGCTACGGCTGACTTCTCTGTTTGCCCTAATCTGCAGTTTCTCTTGTGTTCCGTAAGTCTCGTTCCTACTGAGCGTTTGGTAGTTCCAATATATACGCTACCGCAGGAACAAGGTATACGGTAGATCCCTGCAGAGGATAATGGTTCTCTTTTGTCTTTTGCTGGTCTTAAGCAGTCCCTTATTTTTCGGGTAGGTTTGTAGCCCGAGCATAAAATTTACCATGGAAACCGAAGTAAACAACCAACTGGCCTTCCTCGATGTGCTTGTCAAGAGAAATGGCGACCTTTTGGATCACACCGTGTATCGAAAACCCACTCATACAGACCGGTACTTACACAAACTATCAAATCACCATCCAAGCCAAAAACAGGGGATTATCGGAACATTAGCAAATAGGGCAAGACGTATCTGTGCTAATGAACACATCCAAGAGGAACTAAGTCATTTAAATAAAGCCTTTCTTGCCAATGGCTATAATGACAGAGAAATAAAGGCGGCGCTGGCACCTAGGCAGAGGAGACCTGACGCCAATGAACAGGAAAACATCATTAATAAGGCCTTCCTTCCATATGTTTCCCAGGTCACCGATAGGATTGGTAAAGTTCTCAAGAAGCATAACATCAAACCATATACAAACCTACCCGAAAAATAAGGGACTGCTTAAGACCAGCAAAAGACAAAAGAGAACCATTATCCTCTGCAGGGATCTACCGTATACCTTGTTCCTGCGGTAGCGTATATATTGGAACTACCAAACGCTCAGTAGGAACGAGACTTACGGAACACAAGAGAAACTGCAGATTAGGGCAAACAGAGAAGTCAGCCGTAGCAGAACATGCTCTAAGAGATGGTGACCACAAAATCCAATTCGAAGACACCCAAGTCATTGCCACAACATCTGGATATCATCCTCGTCTGGTCAGGAAGCTGTTGAAATTCAAACATCCAAATAATTTCAACAGGAAGGAAGAAACTTTCTACCTTAACAGAATTTGGCATCCAGCTATATCTAGGACCAAAGTAGCAGCACAGAGAAGTAGACCAGTTCCGGAAGAACTACCACCCGAACAAGCCACGCCCCTCCGCCGACGCATAAATACGCGCTACGCCGACGCGGAGGCATCAGTCTAGTGTGAGCAATCGGAGCAAACACACCTCTGAAGATGCTAGCCACTCGTGCTAGCGAAACGTTAGGAAGCAATTCTAACCGACGACGGCCTAATAACCCGAAAAACCAAAATTCTTCAAACGATGGCCGCGAAAGCCTAAACTACTACAAAAAATATTCTAATATTTGAGGGGTGGTTTTACCCCCTTAGAATTCGAGTTTTGAAAAATCTCTTCTTATGGAACCTCTACACCCTAAAGTCAATCTGTTTTCCAAAAATTAGCTTTTTACGTCAAGCGCTTTAAGCAGGATAGTGATTAATCAATGACCAGATTTTTCGAAACACCCTGTATACATTTTCAAAAAATCTTAAAATATGTAAAAAAACAAAGCAAAATACACGTGTTTAAGGAAAATCTCTTCTTATCGAACCTCTACACCCTAGAATCAACCTGTATGCCAAAATTGAGATTCTTACGTTGAGTGGTTTGAGCAGGATCGTGATTAATCAGTGAGTCAGTCACTTAAATATTTTATATATTAGTACAGATTAATTACAAAAGAAATATTTTGTAACGTTTTTTTTTTGAAATAGAAAATACATAATATTACCATCTCACTAAAATTTCTTTATAAAACATTGAAATATAAAGTGTAATATAACTCCACGCGCAGTTCGTCTAAACTTTTAAATATATACCCACTATACTTCATGAAAAGCTGCAAGTTTTATTAAATCTACATTCATTTTATTTTAGTTTTATATGAAATACACCTAACAAGAAATATGGAAGTAAAAAGATTTTTCCTTCTATGGGGAATATAAAATTCTTTTAGTTAGTTTAAGTACTTAGAAAACTAGGGAAATATTTTGCTTTTTATTTCTGTTATAAAAAGGTTTAGGAAATCTTGTGTTAAAATCTTCTAAGATACTTATCATATGAAAAACTTCAACCTCAGTAGTCATTCTCTATGAACTAAATATACAGGGTGGTCCGAACTGTATTCCGGAAACTTCGGCAGCATATTCTGCAGATAAAAATAAGTAAAAATGTTCGTATAGATGTATGTCCAAAAATGCTTAGTTTCGGAGATACAGGGTGTAGAATTTTCATTTTTATTTCGATTTTTTCCAAATAATTTCTGAAGTAATGTCAATATTTAGATGAAAATTGGTATCTGGGAGTTTTTTGACATGAAAAATTTGATTTTGATGTCAATATGACTCCTACTGGTAGAGGACGCTACCTACGTGTGTTTTAACTGTTTTGAAGCGTAATAACTTTTTGTCCGTAGCTGTATAAAACTACCGAGGGAAAAAATATAAATTTCTGTGATTTTTTACGAAAAAAATATCTCTTTGTAAAAATCGCTACGAGCAACCGGTCTTAAGATATTTAGAATGGAAATAGTTAATACATGCCCTTATTACCGAAAAATACACACGTTGAGTAGATAGTTATTTCACTGAAATAATCAATTTGGGAATTTTTTAATTTTTTAAATTAATCATATTTTTTCTGCAAAAAAATGATGATAAAACAGTTTTTGTTAAACTTCTGGTACAAAAACATTTCAAATTTATGATCTCAGTCTAATAACTATTTAGTCAACATGTTTAATTTATGTTAGTGATGATTGATAATTTCGATTCCAAATATCTCGAAAACCATTACTCGTAGCGATTTTTACCAAGAGACCTTTTTTACGTAAAAAACGTCGGAAATGTACATTTTTTTACTCAGTAGTCTTATATAGGTTCGGACGAAAAGTTATTACTCTTCAAACTAGTTAAAAAATATATAGGTGGCGTCCTCTACTAGTAGGAGACATATTGACATCAAAATCAAATTTCCCATGTCAAAAAACTCCCAGACACCAATTTTAATCCAAATATTGACGTTACTGCAGAAATTATTTGGAAAAAATCGAAATAAAAATGAAACTTCTACACCCTGTATCTCCGAAACTAAGCATTTTTGGACATACATCTATACGAACATTTTTACTTATTTTTATCTGCAGAATATGCTGCCGAAGTTTCCGGAATACAGTTCGGACCACCCTGTATAGCGTTTTAATGGCTAAACAGTGCACAAAAAATTGAAGAATGAAGATTTTATTAAAATTGCTCAGAAATTTCTTCGTCAAATATAAAAAAATAACTACTAAACTACTAATTTTTTCGAAAAACTTGCATAAAGATTGAATCCAAATATGAATTCCGAAATTAATATTAATATCCAAGTGCACCGCGGTCTTCCCTCTAAATTATCCCCACCATTAATTTCAAAGAAGAAGGGTGGGCTCTGACTCACTCCAACGCACCAAACGAATGAACGCCACGCCAATTATTTTTCACATAATTTATAATTAGCATTCGCCAGCTAGATCCCCTTTCTCACTTTATTAATGCGGTCGGTTCACTATTTTAGTGACGAAGCTTAGAACCGCCAGTGTAATGGCGGATATTTTCGGATGCAAGTGTCAACTTTGCACCTTAGCAAGTACGTTGAATATATGGGCTAGTTAGATATTTTTAGAGAAATTAGATACGAGATCTATGTTAAGAACGAGTGTGTTGAATTGGTCAGGAAAGAGTATATTCTTTAGAACGACTCTTAGAGAGGAAAAAACTTCTTGACTAATTTTTGTTGACTAAATTTTCTTGACCACTAAACTTGACGCACTAGAACTTTAGTGGTTTTATAAGTAATTTTTAGCTAAACTATTTAGCTTTTTAGTTCTTATACCAAGTGCGTCTCGAAAGTGGTCTCGAATATTTTTCGTGTTTTGTTCTGGTCGGTTAAAAGATGCCCAAATCGTATTTTTAATCATATCTCAAATTTTTCAAATGGAACAAGGTTGGTTAAGAATATTGTGCATAAGCGTGGCTCAGCATACACACAACCAAACTTATAAGGAATCACTCTTTATTTCTGACTAAATTTCTTGCAAGGATTTTTTTAATTGGTATACAACTTTAAGATAAGGCTTTTTGTTGTAAATAAACATGATAATAAACAATAAACGACCGCTGCGATTTATTTTCTTTTGAATTTTGTGTTCAGTAGTAAAATCACGATTGTCCGGTAATTTTCATTCGATCCAAAAAAATAAAAAATGCCTTATGTTGGATTAACAGATGTATAGAGGGGAAGAATTATTGCTCTCAGCCAACAAGGAATGCTCCAAAGAAATGTAGCAGAGATAGTAAGCGTTACCCAGGGTGTTGTATTGAAAACATATGCAAGATACTTAGAATTAGGAACAAACAAGGATAGGCCCAGACAAAGTCGTCAAAGAGTCACAACTGAACAACAAGACCGCCTTGTGTGCCAAATTGCCAGAATAAATCCCAATGTTTCTCATCCAGAGCTACAAAAACAACTTGTGGCAGCTACAAGTATTAACGTTTCAGTTGAAATCATAAGAAAAAGGCTTTGTGCTCGAGTGTTTTACAGTAGGAGAGAGTTACGGATCCCACAGTTATCTCGGCAAAATAAAATTGACCGGCAAAATTGACGTCTTCAACATCAAAACTGGACAAATGAGAATTGGCAAAATGTGTTCTTTTTTCAGATGAGACCAGAATTGGCCTAAGATCAGATAACCATCAAACTCGGGTTCTCAGAGCTCCAGGAAGACGAACGAGACTTCAGGCTGCCAAATATGTATCAAGATATAAAGGAGAAACTGTAATGTCCTGGGGAGGTATTATACCGGGAGCAAAAACTCCATTGTTACTACTTCAACAAATTTTAACGTGTCGGAGATATCTTGATTTGGTGCTAGAACCAATTGTTAGTCTCTGGAGAGCTGCAATTGGAGATAATTTCAACTTCTTGTACGATAGTGCACCTCCCCATACCAGCAGAGTGACTAGAGAATATCTTGAAACGGATGGTGTCATAGTTTGGACTGGCCTGCATATTCACCAGATCTGAACCCTATCGAACACTTGTGGGACTAGCTCAAAAGAAGGGTTAGAGCTCGTCGAAACAATCCACGAAATCTTGCACAGCTTATTAATGCAGCATTAGCAGAATGGGAAAACATACCCCAAGACAACGTTATAATTTAATAAGAAGCATGCCAGCGCGGATAGGAGTTTTTAGGAGTTTTAGAGATAGGAGAAAAATTTAAATCTTAATTTCGTTTCAGAAATCAAAAAAATACCATTTTGTTTATTTTGAGAACTGATTCATTTTTTTAGTGCTATATGGATTATTTTTCATTAAAATTCATTGGTAAGGACTGAGTTTTATTCATAAACACAAACTTTTCATACATCTCAAACATATGAAAAATAATAGATGATTCCATATAAGTTTGGTTGTGTGTATTTTGAAAAGACATTTTTTCTTGATACTAGAATTGATCAAGCTATTATCATCATCATCATTTTCAGCTTATTCAACCATTTCCAATTATGGTGTAGCCTCCCTCACATTTTTAGATACTCTCTTTGTAGTTGGGCCCATTGTTGTCTATTGTTGGCTATGTGGGCCCAAATTATCCCTCTTAATTTTCTAATATCATGGCCCCATCTCAGGTTTGGTCTTCCTCTAGGTCTCTTAATTCCTCGTGGATACTATGCTGTAATTTTTGTAGTCCATCTGTTGTCCGTCCTTCTTGCTAAATATCCTGCCCGTTGCCACTTGAGCGATTTGATTCTGTGGATGACATCTATTTCCTGGGTATTTTGTCGTATCCACTCCATTCTTTTACGGTCTTTCTTGGTTATTCCCAGCATATTTCGTTCCATTGAGCAGGAGTGTGCATTTTTTTTGATAATGTCCATTTTAAGAGTCCAGGTGTCGCACAGAGGGGATTTTTTCCAAATTCATGGCCAAAATGATTTTTGTAGCATAAACTTACTATTTCTTTTCGAAACTAGTATTTACATTAAAAGTGAGTCATATTTACTAAGAAAATGTTTATTATACACTTTGATGCTATACAGGGTGGTAAAAAATTGCAAAGTTCGAAACAGAGGTAATATTAATTATTAGAAGAAAAT